TTATTACGGATTAGACAAAGTTCAATGCAGATTATCCAAGGTTTATGCATAGACACACATTGTATTATTACTATTCAATAAAGTGAACATGAATATGAATCGGAAAATATCAATTGAACACATTCATAATCAACACTTACATAGAGATTGTTGACAAAACATTATGAATACCATATTTTGGCAGGTGGATTCCTCATAACCAAATCATTGATTATATTGAAGTAAAAGAATAAACAGGTTTGTAGTGTGTATTACAATTTGTGGATTATACCACCATCTCATGATTAAATTTTCCAGTTAATCAACTAGTGAAAGAATATCACCTGCTTTACATCCAACATGATGCCAACTGAGGTAATACGATATGCAGTAATTAATACAATCATTGTAGTTTCTATTCATTTTCACTGGTTGGTTAACCAAAGTCTGTTGGCAATCCACTCATGATGGTTATATCATTTAGTGTATTTATATGAAATCTTTGCAGTTATAACTGTATTTATTATTATTAGGATTAATTATTTGCTATATCAGATGGAATATTCAGTTGGCTTGTTAAATTGTATACGGTAATTCATAAGAGTTTTCATCACGGGTAGATATCGTTAAGAGACCTATTGAAAATTGTGCCGCATTAAACGGTTGTTTCTTTATAGTTCGGAACTACACAGAAGTGAATATCCATCAATTTCCACTAAATTGAACATAGGCGCTACAGTTCTTGCAATGGAAATGATATCAAATAACAATTGAGTTAGAACTCCACGAAATCACGTAAATCACAATTTCCAACTCTAGTCACTTGATAATATAGCATGAGTAACCATCAACCGATTTCGAGATGGTGGTGAACATTTGTTACTCAGGTGGATGATTATGATAGAGTATTGTTCTCTGAGCTGGATGGTTTTGTTGTGGAGCCATCATTGTTATTCTGAGCAACATCGTCAGCATGAATTTCATGTAGAATTGAAGTATTCGAATTCCTCCACATATGGCTCACAACTCGTCCGGTAGATTTCAATGTTGATTGGTTATTATTCACCTCTAATCAGTCATTGTTTTCTTCTTTATTTTCGTTGTATCTCCCATCCCATTTCATTTTCAAATCAATTAACTCGTCACACTTTCTCACGAGAATTTTGGAAAACCCAGTTCTAAATCAGTCACTAATTCTCAGTCAATTGTTATTTACTTAGATGGATAGTAGAGATTTATGCATTACGTTTGTTTTTATGACTTGTTTGCAATGCCTTCTACCACATAGAGTATGATTGTGCCATGTGTGTATTGCTGCATTCATATTGAGTCATACTTGGATGGGGTAATCTGACATTCATCATCGTCTTCTGAATAACCACTGCTTTACGAAAGACTCAAGGATCAAATCATCAGCTTGACCAACAAATTACCAAAATTCGTCTCAGGTTAATAAATATTCAACACGTATTCATCAATTCTACCTTTTATACTATCGACTACTGGACATCACATAAAGGCCTCATATTGAAACATACATCGGTGACTGAATACCGACTAAGCATGAAAACCCAATGAAATTCGCGAGACTCACTATTCTCATTTCAGTTGTCTCATCGGTTATGAGTGAAGTGTGGTTAATTTCAGAAATTGTTCCATCACTTATCATGCAATGTGAGAAACGCTATCCACCATACAAACTCATTCTCATTTTAATAAACTAACGATAACCGAGAATCCATGAATCATACACTTGAATCACCACAACACAATCACTATCACGCGATCATCTCACCACTGTGCATCGAATCGCATTTGAAATCCACTGTATATTTTGACTAGTATTCAGTGTTTCGAGACAATCGACATTGAGTGATGAACGTTGAACACGGATCATATTACGATTTACCGGAATTCAGTTGAATCTGTTTCGATTGATCATAGTTACACAAATTGATTATTATAGATGACTATTGAATTTCGACACTCACCCATATGGTGTGTCTGTAGTTTGCATAAATTTAATACTCATTCAGAAAATCCTTGACATCTAATTGTGTAGTCAATTATTTTGGAAATGAGTTATGAGATTTTATTACATGAGAGTCATATTGCACCACATCATCTTTTCATTTGTGATTTCCTTCCAGACTCAACTCAATCGTCGTTAAATTGCATTCTATCAATTATCATAATCTGTCAGTAGAAGAGATGATACATAATTGTGGAATTGGAAACGTGGTCAACGTGTGGACACAGGGAGTAAGTTACAATTTGGATAGTTCACAAGAAGCATTCATTAATCAACGGCAATATTCGAATAATGATGGTGATATTTGAGATAAAAATAAGAGACATTTAAAACTGCTCAATTGTTAACTATTTTACAGGTTGTAGTGAACGAAAACAAGTGGGAACAATCGAATGCATTTAGATGCAAAATTACAGAATCACTTGTGAAAATCTGAGAACCATGCAGTAAATACTTCATTTGCAAAATGTCCATCAATCTGCACAGACTTCATTGTTCTTTTGTTTCCACACCAATCATTCTTTGTTCTCGTTCACTTTTCCTCAATCTTCCTAACATTCTTTCATTATTCATTTCTCTTTCGATTGATAATACATACTACTTATATCTGTCGATGTCAGTAGCACATACCATAAGATGAAAAATATAGAATGCCAAAATGGTTTAGTACATGATCTCAATGGTGAATATACTGCACATTCTAACAAATCGGATGAAATTGCGAAGGTCGCTACTAATAAACACAAGTTCATCGGGGAGATTTTGTCGACCTTGTTATTGCTTAACTGTGGTAATATTTAGTAATGCTACTAATACATATGAACTGTTATTAAAAATTCATTTAATATGTGAAAATACTGATAATTATGTATATTTTGAAAAGATAGCTGACAGTGATTGGTTAAACATGAATGCACCCATGAGAGGTATGCTCCAGACCCAATTTCCTGATTTACAATAGACCATTTATTTATATTCATATGTACCGAATGATAATGCATGCAAGTTAGTTGCAAGTATCGAATATCGCATCAGTTAAGAAACCAACTTATATGAAATACAGTCATTATAACTTGAAGGACCAAGTAAAGTCATCAATATATCGTTGTGTTTTATCAAACCTGGTTGATAGTGGTTACATAATGAATGAAATTCACTTATTTCAAACAATCTACCATATTCATTCTCACTTTTCTAACAAGATTCGATATTATCTCTTTTATATTAACAGAAGCTGTAGGAATTCAAGTCAATAATACTAGTTCTAATGAAAAGCAGTGACCAATAAAGTTTAGCTGTGCCGATTGTCAGATAGTAACTCACTGAAGACAATTGTAGATGTGTCTCTCAATTTCGTGAATTAGTTGAAGTCAGACATCAATACCGTTGGGTGCTGACTCAGTGGTCTAGAGCATAAGCGTTTGCGCGCGAGACTGATAGGTCCTAGGTTTGAATCTCACGAGTCGGGATCGTGGATTTGCACTAGTGAGGAGTCTCACAATTGGAAGAAACGGCCATCTATTGCTTCAAGGTTCTCCATGATGGTTTAGGTTAATAAACTATTTTACCATATCATCATACTCTTTGTTTATTCGTTCTTCTTTACAACATCATTTATACCATATAAACTGATTATTTATGCATTATGTATAAAACAATTTTCATGATTACCAATTTGATAAAACTATATTTCAAAGTTCTATTTTGAGAAGTATATTGAAACTGCACTTATGTTGATGATATTAAATAAAAGGACAATGGTCATGTTATGATTAATTGATTCATCCAAGAGGATCATTTCATTGTTAGAGTTATGAGATAAAATTAACTATGAAGTGAATTCCAAATAGAAAGGTTGAAATTCAAAAATTGTAGTTACTTACTTACTTACTTACTTACTTACTTACTTACTTATTTACTTACTTACTTACTTACTTACTTACTTACTTACTTACTTACTTACTTACTTACTTACTTACTTACTTACTTACTTACTTACTTACTTACTTACTTACTTACTTACTTACTTACTTACTTACTTACTTACTTACTTACTTACTTACTTACTTACTTACTTACTTACTTACTTACTTACTTACTTACTTACTTACTTACTTACTTACTTACTTACTTACTTACTTACTTACTTACTTACTTACTTACTTACTTACTTACTTACTTACTTACTTACTTACTTACTTACTTACTTACTTACTTACTTACTTACTTACTTACTTACTTACTTACTTACTTACTTACTTACTTACTTACTTACTTACTTACTTACTTACTTACTTACTTACTTACTTACTTACTTACTTACTTACTTACTTACTTACTTACTTACTTACTTACTTACTTACTTACTTACTTACTTACTGACTTACTTACTTACTTACTTACTTACTTACTTACTTACTTACTTACTTACTTACTTACTTACTTACTTACTTACTTACTTACTTACTTACTTACTTACTTACTTACTTACTTACTTACTTACTTACTTACTTACTTACTTACTTACTTACTTACTTACTTACTTACTTACTTACTTACTTACTTACTTACTTACTTACTTACTTACTTACTTACTTACTTACTTACTTACTTACTTACTTACTTACTTACTTACTTACTTACTTACTTACTTACTTACTTACTTACTTACTTACTTACTTACTTACTTACTTACTTACTTACTTACTTACTTACTTACTTACTTACTTACTTACTTACTTACTTACTTACTTACTTACTTACTTACTTACTTACTTACTTACTTACTTACTTACTTACTTACTTACTTACTTACTTACTTGTTTTCGTGGTTATCGTTTTTTAGCGATTTAGTTTTCTACGGGATGGGATCACTAGCCCTAAGGTATACTAAATGACAACTCATAGTATAAATATATTTTTCTCTTGTCACTTTAAGTTCAATCATACACACATAGTCCAAGTTAAAAGAAGCAGGAAAATTTATTGATAAAGATTACTAGTGTAGTATAATAGAAATTCTAATTTACAAGTAAAACAAGTGACTGTGATCTCAGCTTTCTCGCATCTCATTACAATTTCCTAATCACATTATACATGAACACTCGTGTATAGTACGAATATTTGCTTGCCCACTATCTGACTCCAATGAGATCGTTTCTGATTACTATTGAAATATACATATCGCCATTCATCGACTTAGATCACATTAGTGAATAATGGAATTAAATAAGTCAAATACGAGAATGAATTTCCCAATACATATAGCTGTTGTATAATCCTTGATCGAAACAGATAATCAGAGAGACGTAGCGAAGGAAGCGAAGAAGAGAGAACGAAACGACGGAGAGTACTGAGCCAACTCCATTTAATCAAGCGTTAATCAACATTTATAGTCACATAAAAATAAGCTACTGACATGTGGTAAGTAGGATAAGAAGTGTACACATATACATATAGTCAAGTTTGATAAGTAAACAATTAGCGAGGTCAAGATGTAACTCAAATAGAATGGATAAAATGGTTTGTCAAGGAGCTAGAATAATCTATATAGGCTTATACATAATAACTGACACTACAAGATATTTAAGTTTCAGAAATGAGTAAACTTATACAAAGAGTAAAATAAGTCACAATATAAACCATCATCCATGATATACATTGACCACTGAAAAATTGGCTGTTTATTCAAAGAGAAAAAATAAAATACTTGAGAATTCTTCTTCAACACATATTTCCCTAGAAATACATATTCAGTCGGATTTAGTTAGAACTATTAAATGAATTGAAGATTGAACATTCAATAAAGTAGTACTGGTAGTACTAGTAGTATTCGTTGAATTCAAATTTCTTAAACCTGTCATTGAAGATAACCACATTAATGTTAAAAATAAATTCCACCAACAATTGTAAAGAATTCCAGCTGCTAATACTAAATCCATTTGATGATATCGAAATGTACCACCTCCAAATACCATCTTCATTTCAAATAATAATTTCTATGAAAGAGAAATTGTAAATATATGTGTAAATATACATATATGTACAATGAAATGAGGAATCATTGCACAATTATTCTTCATTCAATTGACTAAGACTTCTGAACCAGTTGATCAGGTACTGAATTCATGATCATGTTAAATAACTCACATAGAAGATTTTAGAATACTAAGATCACTTGACTTCTATACATAAACTAGTTGTTAAGGTGTAGATTGATTTGTATTATCCCCTTGCCAATTTCTCTTTTTGATTTGATTGTGTTAGACTAAACATCAATTATGTGGTCAGTATTAGATGATTTTATGCATCAGTAATATCATAAACAAATGGAATAACTTATTTGAAAATATCCAGTTCTCACCAAAATATGAGATTCAGTCAGTTGTCAAACAATTTAGAAGTAGTATTAGTAGTGGTATGAGTGTTGTTGAGACTTTTAGATGTTAGTAAGATCACGAATTGATCCAAGTTAGGAAACCATATGAAATTTGGAGTCCTCATCAATGCCTAACCATAACCCCGTCATCGGGATCATATTGAGAACATTCGATCTTGTACGACGAAGTATAACCTCTAGACAATTTAGCCAGGATTCATACAAGTTTAACTTCAATCATTCTACGACATTATGTGATCAACTTCAGAAGTTCAAATGGAGTATTGGGAAGCCTTCAAACTCCTAATAGTATTGATTATATAATTATGAAAGAGGAATTAAAAATGAATGTATGTTGTGTAAAATTGACTTTCAAACAATATGCGTTTGATAGTTAGTTGAGGATGTTCTACCAAATGTAAAAAACAAAAACAGTTGACTTACAAAGACTGTTAATGGAAATGTAATTGCACCAGCGATAACTAGTACAATCTAATAAAAGATAGAGAGAAATAGTGTGTTGAAATAAGTTTCAGGCTATCGAAAATCAATGAAGCGAGACAATTGAGCAATTGAGCATATAATGTCATAAATCCCTTTCTACTAAACGTCGATTAACAGACCGACTTTCATTACCACAAACATTAACTCAGTTTTTGAATCAGTCGAATGACAAATGAAGTTTGTTTTGAAATAGTGAAGTGGATTTTCATTCTCTGATCTGAATATTTTACACTGAAATCGTCCAGCTCAAAGAATGAAATTTCACGGAAATTTTAGTTTCTTCAATGATTAACAACAACTAAGTGAATATTATCAATCCAAAGTGTCATTGAACAACTAGTTTGTACCAATTTCAATAGTTGAAATCATGAGTCAGTTCAAGGTAGACCACCATGGAAAATCTGAAAGCACTGAACGGCCATTTCGTTCTATTTGAGACTCATCAGCGGTGTGCATCCACGACCTCACCTCGCGGGATTCAAAACAAGCACCTCGCGCACGAGCGCTTAACCACTAGACCACTAAGCCGGCATTCAACGGTGTTAATGTCTAAATTCATGGTAGTTTCGCTTCAACTGACTCATGATCACAACTATTGAAATTGCTACAGTCTCCACAAAACCCCTTCTGGTACTTTATATCAGTTTAACATCCCACAGGAATATAAACGCACAAACATCCAATAACTATATATAATTCAGAGCTTTTAGGTGTATCAACGAATAAATGACCGACAGGAATTTCAGCTAGTATCCAATAGACCACATGTTCAACTTCGATCTAAGAACATTAGAATAAATTAAGTTTGTACATCAGTTACAAGTACTGGGTAGTGATAAACAAATAAACTGACTATTTCAATTTACTTCAATATAACAACATTATTCCCAATCTGCCTTCTATTCTATACTGTCAGTTAGAATTTCATTGAATATGTGATATCTCCATTAGAACTGAAACTATCTCACTTAAAATGCTTAATCATTATGTTAGCATATTCATAACAAATGATAACATAGAGTTAATTACAGAATTTAAATTGAATATATGAGCTTTATAATGACAAACAAAATACAATTACATTATTCTTATTCATTGTGAAGTAAAGAATCTGTCCAATGATTAGTATCAAATCAATACTTAATGTAACAAACAGATTGATGGTGTAATGTTTACTGAAATCATATTGTAGAACAATTATAGTGCAAACAATTAAATTAATGAATGTCACCAATACAGCGAACATGAAATAGACAACATTCTCGAAGTACAAAGTTGCATCCGATGCGATTGCAATGGTTGAAAATAATGTCTGTAATAATAATAACAATAATAATAATAATAATAATAATAAAAGTAATGATAATAAGGGTATTAGGAATTACAACACCTGTTGCACTTATACTACACTTATATGGTGGTACTACAATACTAAAGGAAATCAATCACAAAAATGTAACTGAAAGAGTAACCTTTATTTCCGATGACTGATAATTCATACAAAACTTAAGTGACCAATTCGACAATGATGTGTACACCGAATAGGCAGAGATAGATAGATAGATAGATAGATAGATAGATAGATAGATAGATAGATAGATAGATAGATAGATAGATAGATAGATAGATAGATAGATAGATAGATAGATAGATAGATAGATAGATAGATAGATAGATAGATAGATAGATAGATAGATAGATAGATATTTGGATATATAAATTGACTGCAATGTTTGGATTTCTACTATGTGTAAATTTTAACTGAACTTCAAATGAATATATACTTACCATCAGTATTAGGTACATTACATTGTATGGATATTTCCGTGATAATGCTGGAACAAACATCCAAACTGTTTGAAGAACTAAGTAGATAGCGCTGTAGATAGAGTAGAATATTAACTTAATGACAAATAAAAATAATATCATTCATAGTTACAGATTATATTTTGATATAATGGTGAGGACGTGTAGCTTTTAGTGGATATCGTGCTATGAGGACGTATTAAAAAACTGGTTCACATGTCTACTTAGTCAGCACTCTATGAAATAACGTTTATTCTCGATGTTGCTTCACGGCTTGGGAATTAGACCAGTCGAACAAGAATTCAGAAAGTTGCTCCTCATCAAAACCACATGCTTCTTTTTGACAGCCCGCATAGTATTCCATCCTTCTCATATATATGACAATGAATAATTATGGAGAAACGGATTTACCATCTCCACTTCACTGTTAAATCAAAACACAATTATTTTCCACTTAATTCATGTGTCCTTGTTTTACCTCACTCCACTTTCTATTCCGTTTATGCATATTCTTTCAATCACACACCAGTCTGTCTATGAGGAAATTGTTTTCTCATCTAAATCAAATCAAATCAATGACTAGTTAAAAGATAAGCATTACTACATGATGAAGATTGTGAATGAGGTTTTCTGGAAACAGATCTCCCATTCAAACTGGCCTGCTTCAACATTCGCCTACTAATGCAGATAGGACAACAGATAGATCTAGCCAAATCTTTGAAACGACAATATCAGTGTTTACTGTTTATTCGTGACCTGTATTCAATACTCTGATGAGGTGCTAAACATCTACTGTATCTGTCAATATTTGTTTTGAAGGTGATCCCAGTGACTTCCATATCGTGCTTCATTTTCAGAGGCTGTGACTGGTATGGGAAAACTGAGAGATGGTCGATTTATGACATAGTCCAATAATATGAAAGCTGTACAAGACTGGTATCGATCAGTTCATCACGACTTTCTGATCAGGAGACAGTGCAACTCAGTGGCTCAATGTCTTACCAGACACAGCTGAGAATAGAAACCGGTCGAGGCCATGATGTAGTTTCCTTTTACATTCTTCACAAAAGTGAAAGGAGATCCGTCTACTGAAAGAATCCTTTCTGGTCATATGTTTTCTACTGATTGGTTTTTCCCATTGTATACTACTCATGTTCACTTATTTTTATTTATTTATTTATTTAACTATACTCCCATTCCATCACAATCTTATCTTCTTATCTGTGTTGTGCATATTAATTTGATGTCCATTTCTATCGATATTTATTTTTTAAATAGTTTTGAGCGTATTCATATGAGTGGGATGTTTAAGCTCAATCATTTAATTGTGTGGTGGGAATTCTGCTTTGTTAAAATCCGCGTTACCGCTAGAATATAAAAGTCGATCAATCTTCAAAACTTTGATTCATTATTCTAATATTTTACACATTTCTCAAATAAATTCAAGCTTACATTGATAATCAATTCTAGATTCATCTTTTAAACTTTAGTCAATGATATAGAAAATTGCTGACAAGCACTGAATAAGGATTAATCAGATCTCAATTTAACTGGCATTCACTTGAAATCCTGAGGAGAAACAGAAATGAGAAAGACCGAAGAACACACTGCATCGAAAATTAGAACCAGATATGAAAAGGATGAATAGCAATCGGAAAGAACTGTAAAGAATTGTCAAGGACAGCGTTGGATGTAGAATGTTGGTGGGTGGTCTATGCTCCTCTATGAGGGGTAACAGACGTAAATAAGTAAAGTTGTAAGTATTTCATCCTTTTATAGATTAAGTATTTAAGAACTACCATTAAAGCATCACAATACAACCATCTGTTCGGTTTGGATCTTGTGAAACATTTAATGAATAAAATATCATTTCGATCATCTTATTGAATTCATCATAATATCAGATTATCAGTACCATCGTGACAGACATTGAATACTATGCGAATATATATGTGACTAAACTTGATGCATAGTGATACTGAAATGTATTGACAATCTGTAAATATAACAAAGGCTTAATTTGAAACAGCATCATATTTTCATTCTATTAATGTTATTACTTATATATTGAATAATGATGGTAAAGTAAATGGTTCTTACCATGAGATCCATAAGATTACCACATGATTTTTAATCCATTCACTGATCTGTTGGCTTAAAAGAAATTTGATTCAAGTTTACTAAACAGTAATACAACATACACTAGAATAAACAAATTTGTTCCTCCAAAAGTGATTGCAAACTGAAGAACTGTGATTCCAAGTACCTGTAAATGAGTAAATTAGATGATAGGAACATACAAAATCATGTAAAATAGAGTTTGTGTTTTTCTAATATAAATAATTTTATCATGTCAAATCAATTTCACATTTTTGGAGAATTCCCATGTTGTATGACTGAAGTTGTGTAAATCTAAGATGGAGAATCTCATAGAATAATCTATCTAGTCAGTAGTTTACCGATTGCAATATATATAAATATATATTGTTGTGCGACAAATCAGAAGTCCCATTCATTAACATGAGTAACTCCATTGAATCCATCGGATATCGATGCAGCACCTATACATGTCACTTCAACAACGACCGAAGAAACCAGAATGGCCATCAGACCAATCAGCAGTGGGAGAGCAGTAGGACCTGACAATATATCAGTTGAAGCAGTAAAGTCAGACACAGAAGTTACTGCAAACATCCCGATGGACTGGAGAGAAGGACACCTCATCAAGATACCAAAAAAGGAGATCTGAGCAAGTACGAGGATCAAAGAGGGATCACCCCATTGTCAGTACCAGGAATGGTTTTCAACAGAGTGTTTCTGAACCGGATGAAAGATTCAGTAGGGATCGGTCGTGCACAAACCGAATTGTGACACTACGGAACATTGTTGAACAACCCGTTCGGTGGAACTCGTCACCATACATCAACTCCATCGTTTATTAGTAAGCATTCGTCAGTGCGGATAGGAGAACGTTACGGAACCTTCTTCAACACTATGGTGTACCTGAAAAGATTGTCAACATTATATGGGATCGATCCGATAAACTAAACTTCAAACTCGTGCATGAAAGATAACTGACAGATGCATTCACAGTGGTAACCGGAGTCAGACAAGGCTGCTTACTCTCTCCCTTCCACTTTCTTTCTGATGATCAACTGAATTATGAACACCTTGACATCTGAGGGAAAGCACGGAATTAACTAGACGACCTGGACTTCGTAGATGACCTAGCCCTCCTACCCCATACACATCAACAAATGCAGGTCAAGACAAACAGTGTGGCAACAGCCTCTGCATCAGTGAGCCTCAACATACACAAACGAAAAAGCAACGTCTTCAGAATCAACAAGGAGAGCACCAACCCAATCACACTTGATTGAGAAACTCTAAAACAAGCGGAAACTTTCACGTACCTGGTCAGCATCACTATCGATGAACGTGGAGGATTGGATGAAGACGTAAAGGAGAGGATTGGCAGAGCAAGGACAACATTCACACGGTTGAAGAACATATGGAACTCAAAACAGCTCTCTGTATGCCAACATCAAAGTCAGAATCTTCAATACGAATGTCGAGATAGTTCTACTGCATCAGACTGAAACGTAGAGAACTACCACAACCAACATCAAAAAATACGAGTATTTGTAAACAATTGTCTACACAACACACTCAATGTCCGTTGTTGGTCGAATACCATCAGTAGCAGTCTACTGTGGGAAAGGAAAAAACTGGCTTCCAACTAAAAAAACATGTTGAAAGTGGATTGGAAGAAAATTGTAGGAATCATCAAACTGCATTATGAGGCAAGCCCTAACTTGTAATCCTGAAGGGAAACGGAAATGAGCAAGACTGAAGAACACACTACGTCAGGAATTGGAAATAGACATGAAAAGGATGAATAGCAACTGGCAACAAATGGAAAGGATTGTCTAGAACAGTGATGGATGTAGAATGTTGGTGAGCGGCCTATGCTCCTCGAGGAGGGATAAGAGGCATTTAAACTAAGTGAACAAACATCCTGTCAATTGAACTTAAGTCTGTTTACTAGATGTGAATCATTGAATTCCTCTTCCAAAAATAATGTGTATTAAGTTTAATGGTGAAAAATTCGTGAATAAAAATATTATCACAAAAAGATTTTGCCAATACTTGTAAGAAGTGACAGTTTATTTAATGAACACTCTCAATTCTTCGAAAACATAATATTTCTAGCATACAAAGTAAGAAAGAGATAAGACGATTGCTTAGTTCTACAACAATCACTTTATGGGTTGAAGTCATCACATCGACACAGATATATGAGTAGAAGCTATAAACTGAAATACGTCACTGAACTGCTATTTAGGGGAGAGAAATGAACTGTAGATATCCAGACTAATTTGATGACAAAACTGAGAACAGTGATAATCAACAGTTCTTGTAGAAATATTAGTATCATGATGACGAACAAAGCATACATAGATTATTCCAGCTTACATTCAATGCAAAAATATCACCATCATTATTCGAATATTGTCGTTGATTAATGGATGCTTCTTGTGAACTATCCAAATTGTAGCTTACTCTCTGTGACCACACGTTGACCACGTTTCCAATTCCACAATTATGTATCATCCCTTCTACTGACAGATTATGATAATTGATAGAATGCAATTTAGCGACGATTGAGTTGAGTCTGGAAGGAAATCACAAATGAAAAGATGATGTGGTGCAATATGACTCTCATGTAATAAAATCTCATAACTCATTTCCAAAATAATTGACTACACAATTAGATGTCAAGGATTTTCTGAATGAGTAATAAATTTATGCAAACTACAGATACACCATATGGGTGAGTGTCGAAATTCAATAGTCATCTATAATTATCAATTTGTGTAACTATGACCGATCGAAACAGATTCAACTGAATTCCGGTAAATCGTAATATGATCCGTGTTCAACGTTCATCACTCAGTGTCGATTGTCTCGAAACACTGAATACTAGTCAAAATATACAGTGGATTTCAAATGCGATTCGATGCACAGTGGTGAGATGATCGCGTGATAGTGATTGTGTTGTGGTGATTCAAGTGTATGATTCATGGATTCTCGGTTATCGTTAGTTTATTAAAATGAGAATGAGTTTGTATGGTGGATAGCGTTTCTCACATTGCATGATAAGTGATGGAACAATTTCTGAAATTAACCACACTTCACTCATAACCGATGAGACAACTGAAATGAGAATAGTGAGTCTCGTGAATTTCATTGGGTTTTCATCCTTAGTCGGTATTCAGTCACCGATGTATGTTTCAATATGAGGCATTTATGTGATGTCCAGTAGTCGATAGTATAAAAGGTAGAATTGATGAATACGTGTTGAATATTTATTAACCTGAGACGAATTTTGGTAATTTGTTGGTCAAGCTGATGATTTGATCCTTGAGTCTTTCGTAAAGCAGTAGTTATTCAGAAGACGATGATGAATGTCAGATTACCCCATCCAAGTATGACTCAATATGAATGCAGCAATACACACATGGCACAATCATACTCTATGTGGTAGAAGGCATTGCAAACAAGTCATAAAAACAAACGTAATGCATAAATCTCTACTATCCATCTAAGTAAATAACAATTGACTGAGAATTAGTGACTGATTTAGATCTGGGTTTTCCAAAATTCTCGTGAGAAAGTGTGACGAGTTAATTGATTTGAAAATGAAATGGGATGGGAGATACAACGAAAATAAAGAAGAAAACAATGACTGATTAGAGGTGAATAATAACTAATCAACATTGAGGTCTACCGGACGAGTTGTGAGCCATATGTGGAGGAATTCGAATACTTCAATTCTACATGAAATTCATGCTGACGATGTTGCTCAGAATAACGGTGATGGCTCCACAACAAAACCATTCAGCTCAGAGAACAATACTCCATCATAATCATCCACCTGAGTAACAAATGTTCACCACCATCTCGAAATCGGTTGATGGTTACTCATGCCATATTATCAAGTGACTAGAGTTGGAAATTGTGATTTACGTGATTTCGTGGAGTTCTAACTCAATTGTTATTTGATATCATTTCCATTGCAAGAACTGTAGCGCCTATGTTCAATTTAGTGGAAATTGATGGATATTCACTTCTGTGTAGTTCCGAACTATAAAGAAACAACCGTTTAATGCGGCACAATTTTCAATAGGTCTCTTAACGATATCTACCCGTGATGAAAACTCTTATGAATTACCGTATACAATTTAACAAGCCAACTGAATATTTCATCTGATATAGCAAATAATTAATCCTAATAATAATAAATACAGTTATAACTGCAAAGATTTCATATAAATACACTAAATGATATCACCATCATGAGTGGATTGCCAACAGACTTTGGTTAACCAACCAGTGAAAATGAATAGAAACTACAATGATTGTATTAATTACTGCTTATCGTATTACCTCAGTTGGCATCATGTTGGATGTAAAACTGGTGATGTTCTTTCACTAGTTGATTAACTGGAAAATTTAATCATGAGATGGTGGTATAGTTCACAAATTGTAATACACCTTACAAACCTGTTTATTCTTTTACTTCAATATAATCAATGATTTGGTTATGAGGAATCCACCTGCCAAAATATGGTATTCATAATGTTTTGTCAACAATCTCTATGTAAGTGTTGATTATGAATGTGTTCAATTGATATTTTCCGATTCATATTCATGTTCACTTCATTGAATAGTAATAATACAATGTGTGTCTATGCATAAACCTTGGATAATCTGCATTGAACTTTGTCTAATCCGTAATAATAATAGTGATAATAATAATAATTTCAAATACAGTCACTTTATAATAATCAAATTGTATGAATCAATGAACTTTGAATTGTGTTGTATAATGTTGAAACAAGCTATTGACAATTCATTTGTTGATTCATTCATTCATTCATATTTCACATTTCTTACTACTTAAAGAAGTTAGTAGTATGTTGAATTATGCACCACAATAGTTTCAACAGAATACAATCATCAATTCACTAATAGAATTCTACTTATATCTAATAGAAATAAACCTGCATAGGGGCTCCACCAGGATCCCCTCTGAGACTATTACTAATACTACCCGTCCGAAACACGGATGAAGGAGGAGGGTTTGGCATGTGATTAGCGACCTCAACTGTCGAAAACTAACTCGCTATAAAATGCTAACCATGAAACGGTTAACAGAACGTTTTTCATATTTGAAATGCACAGACTATGAACTTAATGAAAAACGACTGACTAACGTAGTACCACCATGTAGTTCGACTGAAGTCATCACATGGTGTAGTAATGAACAGATGAAATTAATGTCATAGTAGTTCCCTTCTAACAACAACAATAACAACAACAACAGCTGAATATAAACCAGAAGTGACAGAACAATGAAAGAGTTAACAGGACTTCTGTCGAATATCATTATTATTATTCCTACCAGTAATTCGTTAACATTTGGTTTGATTTAACAAGACTTGAATTTAGGCTGGATGCGTTCTCTTCAACAATGAACATTCTCGATTCAATCATGCTAGAAACTCAATCAACTTCAGAGCTGAGTCGTACTAAATCATTTATTATTTACGTTGGAGTATTCCATTCCCTTCTTTCTTTTCTCCCATTCTAATTAATCAGTTTTTTCGGCAAGCATCATCTCGCAAACACTTCTAACCATACTTAATACGTCTTCGATCTTTCTTGATGAACACAGTTTTATTACACAATCTTATAGTTTTCTAACCGAAGCTCTTTGTGTCTGATTGGGCAGAAACTATTGGGATCTAATCAAAGTCGAATGTGAGTGTCTTTATGATGAGTAAATATTTAGTCTTGGTCGTTTGCTCTGTGTTCACATAAAGTATAGTGTGAAGATCTGTTTGTTGTGTGAAAATGAAAACATGGTGACCAGAGTAAATATTCGACGTAATCGAGTCAACGGTTGATTGATAGATATTTTTGTCGATATAACATGTGGGACATCACATGTTAGATGATGTTCCAAATCCACGTGCTAAGTGAAATTTCATTGGCATATTAACGTGACCAGGGTAATTGCCTACATGTTCTTGTCATTAGTCTGACCACCATAAATAGACTACCTCTCAATGTTTGGATCGTTCAAACATAATGATGGCAGACTACAACATTTTTCGACTTATTTGTTACTGACTCCTAGGAACTGCAAACACCAACCAACCGAACTAATATGGAACCACATTATGAAATTTCAACATATACAAAACAGTATTCTCAGAAACAGAACCTTTATGCTTCAATTCTGTCATTCATTTCAGACTACCAAAACTTGAACATGACTTCAATCACAATAAAACAGATGCTGACATTTTTCAATCTGCAATGTAATCTCTACAAATCGCCAAGAACTATGATACTGGGATATTGCCATCATAATCATTCAGACAACTGTAAAAACACTGTAAAATCATTTCGTTCTTTTGAAGATATAACTCTCCCACCGAATTTTAATTGTATTTTATAAACTATACCAACAGTATTCGAACATGATTTGAGGAAATATATTTAGTCACTCTTTTTCCCTTATCGAACTTATGGCCTAATTATTTAATAATCATTATGATATTGTGCAGTATTCGATCAGTGCTAATTCGCATAGCTTAAATCTATTTTATTCATACATCATACCATAAATACTATCACTGTTATTATTAATATCATTGCTGTCATCATTATCATAAGAACCGCTAACGTTTTTGAGGAATTTATTCAGCATCTACCCCTATTTACTAATTCATACCCAATCCTACATATTACTTGACTTCTGACTTGCAATTGCAGTATTCTCTCTCTCGCCCCATGTTGATCATATTTATTCTGATCATTTATCTCACTACTTCATTTCTTTTATAAAATGACTAATGTTAACACTTTATGTTAGTGATCCCAACATTATTTTACCCTAAATTCAGATGCTACAATTTTAAATGATATACTTCGCCTTAATCTACGTATCTCATGAGGAATATCAGCTAAGTATTCATATAACAGAAGGGAAATATTTATTGTTAGTCGGATTCGGTGTCTATGACGGTCAGTAAATTTACCAGTTGAGTCACAGATATAGAAAGCATTCTTATTGAGCCACTAACGGTGTTATTTAGTTTCTGATATAGTGTGTTGTATGCTACCTATGCTGGTAGATATAAGTAGTAGAATACCTGCAGTAGAAGATTGAAGTGAAGAGAACAGGAAGAAAATGAATGAGCAATCAAAACAACAACAGAATTAGAGGAATAGTGAAGTTCGTAAAGGGTAATGGAAAGATGAGGAAATGATGTATTCAATATACGATTTTCATATTTTACTAAGCTACTATGTGGTTTAGCACGAAATAATAAATTGGTTATTCCCACTTGACTTCTCGTTCACTACGATAGGATTTTATTTGAATGGATGCTTCGTCCCAAACAACTTTCACACACCAGCACTCCACCTGTCTCCAACGAACCAGATGTTCACAGATACCCAGTAAGTGATATTTGAACAATCCAGATTCCAATAGTTGATATAGAAAAGAGATTTTTTGTCAACCGGCCAATTTGACCACACACATATTAACCATCGAACAGCGGATCCGTCCGAAAACGAATCACTAAAACTCCACGAAACGATGCTTTGTCCACTATCAGTTATTGCTGCATTCTTTCTGACTACGTCTTAGATCAAGCTTTATTTCACCGAGATATCCTACAGTGATTCTACTGTCAAAATCTCAAAACTGAAATATGTAGTGACAAAAGTGAACATGTGGTCACTGATATACATAATAGGTCAGAAATCCAACCATTAACGCCAGAATCTAGCTACTTTCTCACCAAGACAAACTAACGTAATATTGCCCTAGTCACCGGTAATAGTACACATGGTCGGAATACCAAAATATACACGCAACAGGCGAAAACAGAATCATTTAGAACTTATTTTACTTCCAGTAATCTTATGTAAACCCTCCATAACCTCTAAAATTACCACACAATCTATATTCAGACCTCGTTTAATTAATGCATCACCCGCCCCTTATGTCTATTAATTCCAACTCCATATACATATCGGTGACCTTTGTCGTCTTAATTCTTTTCCTTTTAATTCTTTTTCGTCGATTGCGTCACATTATATCTTATTTCAACGTTAACTTTCAATACACATGGTTGTAAGCAGATGGTGAGAAACCGAGAAATATAATGAATTCATATTATTCTGCGCCAATGTTTTTACTGGCTTTATTCAGTTATTTGTTTTCAGAGAGGTGTTCTAGAACACTTCTGAATGTTTTATGGGTCGTAAGCCATATACAATCGCTGACACATTCCTCTTGTTTGCTAGATGACGCATAGTGCTTGGTGCAGTGTGTCCAAGTAGAAGGTGAACGATGTGCATTTATCGTTTAAGCATTGATAAAATCAATTGTACTATTTCCTTTATCAATATTATTCAATATAAAGGCTCTAGACACGTTAATTTCCAAACGTCTCATTATTGTAATCTCAATGTAGCTGAAATCCTTCAACATAAATAATAAACTTCTTAGATGGTCCAAATCAATTATTTTACTTGTTGAACCTTTGGCGAACAAATTAATGAAATCCCTGTCGACCTACTTTCCTTTAGATAAAATTTATGTAGTCTACACGATCTACTGTCAATAGTAAATTTGAAGGTATATATTGATCATTAACAAACGTACGAGAATTATAAGGTTCCAAAATACCGACGACATCAATACGTCAATTCATCCGTAGATCTAATTAAAACAGGCTTGAAATTCTGGAACACAGGAAACTTTCTTGTTTTAACCAAATTGATCATCTTCATTCTGCTCAAAAACAACTTATTAAGGACAGAAAGTTGGATAAAATCGGACAAGTATCATAAATGACCCCCTATGTAAACCATTTTCCTTTAACAAATTCTGATTTGTAGATTAAAACAATTCTAAACAAATCTCACTTTTATTCACAAAGGAATAGTACACATATAAACAGTGACAAATACATAACATTATCAACCGACAACTTTTCAATTCGTTACAAAACCCCTTAAAACGTTGGTCTTTTGTTGTTTTCGTCTTTCAGGATGGCCATCAAATGGTTGATTATTTGAACAAAATGACCAAATTCCAGTTAAACGTGGATTTACGATTTGAGTGCACACTATTAACAAACATACAACCATTGTAGTCCATATAGGAAATACTGCATAAACCAGACGGGTTTTAACGGCGGTTGCATTACTGATTTGATTGCTAGTTGTAGTCTGGTTAATAACGTTCGACTGAGAAAAGCTGTCTAACAAAGTCGTTAAATAGCCTTCCAGGGATAGGCAGAGAATAATCTGTGCAATTAACTTCCATAAGATAAAACTCAATGTCAGAGTCTGATTAAATCTACCTTCAACGTTATGTTGACCAATTATATGGGTAAATCTGAAAATTCATCAGTTTAATGCATAATAATAAACCAGTTGAGTTATAAGAACATACTTTCGTGACATATATAGTATTGAGGTAATGAATAACATAAAATCAAAAGACCACATTGGTATAAATATGATGAACCAATTCCAGTAAACGATTTCATCAAGTTTTAAAATCAACAAGAACAGAAACGCGCAACAGCTTGTCCAGATAAATATCACTTTACTCATAAGCATCTTCTGTAAT